CCCCCTGACATAGGTTGCTACACATGCAGGTGAATCACGCTGGGACCATAGAATCTAAATAAGAGTTTTGTCAACAACAAATCTATAACATACTTTTGAATGTGCTGGAAAACGGCTGCAAGTCCTAAGTAGCTCTGAAACAGCTATTGTTTTGTGCTTTATAATTTATATTTTTCTTGCAATTTTGTACCTGAGATGTTGCTGCAGTACAGTGTTCATGGTTTTACACTGGTCCGGACCAGAGCAGTGAGGATTCATGGTCTGAACCAAGAGGATCAGGTGAAAATCCACCGAAGGAATGCTAACTTTTTGAAAAATGCTAATGAAGCAGCTACTCCACCTTGTGACCTGTCCTGCTCCACCCAGAGGTTACTCCACCACTGCTGCTGTGATCCATCCTGCTCCACCCAGAGGTTACTCCACCTCTGCTGCTGTGATCCATCCAACCCACTCTCTCAGAAAACTGTGTAATAGTCACATTGGTCCACCTCTTAAACTGTGAGAATACCACAGTTTGGGCTCTGAAACTGTGGCACTCTTACATATTTTATTGCAATGTTATTCTACGGGAGTCACGTGACCACACCGTTTCCTGCGAGGGAGGAAATAAAAATGGCCGACATTTCTCATAATTATAGTCCAAAACTGCGGTTTATAGTATTATTTAGAGACTAAAGTCAACTTATTTCACAATTTTGAGCGAGAAATATACACTTGTATTTCGTTATTTTTTAATAAAATGGTTCCTAATGGCTTCATTTACGAAATTGAGCGATCTTTTTTTTGGTCCCTTAAAAATATGTGTTATTGTTACAGTTCGCCATAATAACACGTAGATCTTCGCCCCTCAAAAACAATTGTGATTTCAAATTTGACCATTTGACTACCCTTGTACAGAATGCTCGTGCGTGGTTACCTTCAATCGTATACATTGAAAATCACGTAAATCATCGATTTTGATAGATCCGTTCCGTCTGAAAATGTGCTATTGTTACAGTTCTGATGCCGGCGTCGCTCCTCATTGGTCCATCCCCAAGCTGTAAGAATACCACAGTGCACTGTAACTGTGGTACTCTTACAGATTTGTTTTATAATATTCTATGGGAGTCACGTAACTACACCATTTCCTGCGAGGGTGGGAATTAAAACATCAGAATCATTTTTATTGCCACGTAAGTAACAGGAAGTCACAAACTTGAAAACATGACCAACATTTGTCATAATATCACCGACAACAGTGATTATTCTTAGGATTAGGGATCTTTTTGTGTCCCTGAAAATAGTTATTGTTGAATATCGCTCAGTGATCACAGCGTTCACCGCGTTGCCATGACGACACGTCCGTTGCGACGAAAATGACGTTGGGATCATGTGTCTGTCTGTATAATTAAAATAAAAACCTTACAAGATTAATTGATGTGTTTTTAAACTGATAAGAATATTTCCACATTCTTTAAACAGGTTTCAGTCGATATTATGGCCAAAGCGGTTATGGAGGAAGTAAAGTATTATTTGAGAAAAATTACGTAAATACCTTTTTGTAAATGTTGTGCAGGACCCCACCTAGTGGAGTGTCAGGGTAACAGCAAGTCTACAGAACCTCCAAGGCTATGATCAAAAATGGTTTTATACTGTATATGATGCAGTGTACATTATCAAGACGGCGCAGTAGGTATGAATACATGTTTTACAAAGGTAACTTTTTAATGCTTCACACAACTCAACCAAACCAAACTACGGCACATTTTTAGATTATCGAAATATATGTAACATCAATCACATAACATAATAAAGGATTCTGAAACATGTGCAGCTTCAAGGTATTTAATTCAATGGAGTCTGATGTAGCTAAGGTTAGAACTGCAGCCACAACCAGCCCTTTGAGGACCAGCATGACGCCCCTGCTGTAGATGATCATATATACAACATTAATTTTAATTCAATGTAGGTTTCTATAGTCCTAAATCACAACAGTTATCTCGAGGACTTTACTCATCTGTCAATTCGCCAACAGAGAACAGAGGAAAAAAAACCAAAAAAACGTTCAAACACAGGAATTGCAATGATTCAAAAAACTTAAAGGGGGCAGATGATCAATGTCCATAATTCTCAAGAGGCTCCCAAGTGGGCTTCCATATACGCTTACTGAAACAAAAAGAAAAGGTATATGAAGCATTCAGGGTAAAAACGTCTCAAAGCTAAATATTATTGTTTAACCACAGTAAATCAATTACCAAGTCCCACATGGAAGCCATTCCACAAGAACCTAAAAAAAAAACAAAATATATATTTATCAGTATAAGACTCTACATTGCACTTGCGATCACCAGCAAAATCAGTATAAACAAACATTCATGTGGACACAAGATAAAGATAAAGATAAGATAAAGATAATTCTTTATAAAAAATACTGCTTGTTATGTAAAATTAAAGAAAAGTTTATGCAACCTACTTTTTTCCCCCGCTTCTTTATTATCTTAGACATAGGGTAACTTCCTGCTGTCTGCTGCTTGTTACACTCTTCACAAATATTTTTGCTGCATCTACAGGGTGAAAAAAACAAACACAAATTGGAGGGTTCTTATTAGGGATGGCATAATGCAGTATAATCACAAATCAATTAGTCATATTAATACATTGGATACAATATATAGATGTGTATACGTCTTTGTCCCCATGATCTCTGACAGATGCATGTGTGTGTCCACATGGTCTCTGTGTCAGATGCATGTGTGTGTCCACATGGTCTCTGTGTCAGATGCATGTGTGTGTCCACATGGTCTCTGTGTCAGATGCATGTGTGTGTCCACATGGTCTCTGTGTCAGATGCATGTGTGTGTCCACATGGTCTCTGTGTCAGATGCATGTGTGTGTCCACATGGTCTCTGTGTCAGATGCATGTGTGTGTTCACATGGTCTCTGTGTCAGATGCATGTGTGTGTGTTCACATGGTCTCTGTGTCAGATGCATGTGTGTGTTCACATGGTCTCTGTGTCAGATGCATGTGTGTGTCCACATGGTCTGTGTCAGATGCATGTGTGTGTCCACATGGTCTGTGTCAGATGCATGTGTGTGTGTCCACATGGTCTGTGTCAGATGCATGTGTGTGTCCACATGGTCCACATGGTCCACATGGTCTGTGTCAGATGCATGTGTGTGTGTCCACATGGTCTGTGTCAGATGCATGTGTGTGTGTTGGTCCACATGGTCTGTGTCAGATGCATGTGTGTGTGTCCACATGGTCTGTGTCAGATGCATGTGTGTGTGTCCACATGGTCTGTGTCAGATGCATGGTGTGTGTGTCCACATGGTCTGTGTCAGATGCATGTGTGTGTGTCCACATGGTCTGTGTCAGATGCATGTGTGTGTGTCCACATGGTCTGTGTCAGATGCATGCGTGTGTCCACATGGTCTGTGTCAGATGCATGTGTGTGTGTCCACATGGTCTGTGTCAGATGCATGTGTGTGTGTCCACATGGTCTGTGTCAGATGCTTCCTAATATTACACACAAACTAAGATTTCCCACCATAACTTCAAGGTCGATCACGGCTAAATTGGTTGCTGTTCTTTACACTGTACAAAATAAAATAACCAATGATCGAGTAGTTATTATTAGACAAATCCATAATACTTTTTGTTGGGGAGGATAGGATTAATTGTATTGATTAGGGGTGCAACGGTTTGACAAGAATCACGGGTTTCGGATCGTACCTCGGTCGGATCATTTAAAAAAAAAAAAAAAGTTTTGTCTTTTTAATAAACACAGTCTCACGGTGGCTCGTCACCTGCAGGGGGGATCAGGTGAGGGGTGGTGCTCTGGGTACTGGGTGCAGCTCTGACTGCCACCCCTGACCTAGAAATGGATTAAGGGGAAGAAAATGGATGGATGGATGGATCGAGTGCATATTCCATCATCCGAATTATGTCTTTTTAACATAATTAATGAAAACCAACACAAAGTGCAACTTAAAAAAAGGCACTTTGAGGTCATTTACCCTCATATATTATCACCTTCCTGATTCTCCCAAGGGAGGCGCTCCTTTCTGGCCCAGTCCACCACCCTTTTGGGCCCAGTCCCGCCTATTTACTGCATTCATTTAATTTTTGTGCATTATCAGTTGTGACTGGGATATTAGTACTAGGCCTGTTATCGTAACATAGTTCTTACGTTCCGCTCATGGATCTATTTATAGGTTCCGGGGACGTCCAAGCGTCAGTCGTGAACGCAAACTGTCGCTGTGCGGGAGAGTTTAACTTTAGCCCGGTCTGACTGAGCATTAAGAGCTGCTTAAATTGCGCTCAAAATAAGCGGTCTTTTTTTCACTGTTGTGCCACAGTAATTTACACACCGTGACAGTTTTGTCCGACTATTTAATTATCAGGTAGAGTTACAGTGATGCCAAAATGCTCTCATACCAGGATTTAAATGACGCGGGGGCTTTCAAGCTCCTCGCGTTCCTTGCTCGCCATGATTATGCTGTGTGTATGACTGAACAACATGCGCACAACTTTTTTTTTCATAAATCAAAAACGCGGATCACGTCTGTACCGAACCGAAGCGTTGATCCGAACGGATCACGGATCAAGTGATGAACCGTTGCACCTCTATATTGGATCAAAAAAATATATATACTAGTAGACTAGTATGGGTGATAAAAATAATATGCACTCTATCAATTACTACTATATCAATCCACTTGAGGAGAAATGGTTGTTTATGTCAATTGATGCATACATTTATAAAACATCATTTTCAATTATGTGATGACACTTACTTTTAGCAGTTCGCTTTTGGGACTCTCTTTGATCTTTTCAAAACTGGAATGGATAACGGTTCAGTTAGAAATTTTAATAAACATTTTCAAGTCATTGTATGAATGCAATATACAGTACTACAAGTGGGGACATAAAACTACCTGTGTGTCTTTGCTGGCTGGTGGGGGGGGCATGGACCTCGGGTGGAGATGACGCACTAGCTCTGGAGGGCGGAGATGACGCACTAGCTCTGGAGGGCGGAGAGGTGACCACTCGAGCTCTGGAGGGCGGAGAGGACGCTCGAGCTCTGGAGGGCGGAGAGGACGCTCGAGCTCTGGAGGGCGGAGAGGACGCTCGAGCTCTGGAGGGCGGAGAGGACGGCTCGAGCGCTGGAGGGCGGAGAGGAGCTCGAGCTCTGGAGGGCGGAGAGGACCTCTGAGCTCAGGAGGGCGGAGTGGAACGCTCGAGCTGGAGGGCGGAGCGGACGCTCGAGCTCTGGACGGAAGAGGGACGCTCGAGATCTGGAGGGCGGAGAGGACACTGTCGCAGGGCAGAGAGGGACACTGTCGCATGGAGGGCAGAGAGGACCTTTCGGGAGGGCAGAGAGGACACTGTCGCACTGGAGGGCAGAGAGGACACTGTCGCAGGCGGCAGAGACACTGTCGCATGGAGGGCAGAGAGGACCCATGTGCACTGGAGGGCAGAGAGGACACTGTCCGCGCTGGAGGGCATAGGGACTGTCGCACTGGAGGGCAGAGGGACACTGTCGCGACGAGGGCGGAGAGGACACTGTGGCACTGTGGAGGGGGGACGGAGAGGACACTGTCGCACCTGGAGGGCGGCGAGGGACACATAGACTGTATCTCAGAGGGGGGTGGACTGCTGTGAATCTAGACAACAACAAAAAAAATACTATGTTTTTTTTCCGCATATGTACTCCATCAACTGACGTATTAATTGTTGGAGTTGAAAAGGGATACCAAATTTATCAAAACGGAGTTTTGCTGACCAAGATTCTCAAAACTACAATGCTGTAGCAGATAAAAAGGCTGGAAGAAAACACAACTGAAAATGTAAGAAGAACAGGGCAGAATGGATGTGACCTTCATCTGTCTTTCACTGGATTACACTCACGGTTAATTAATATTTGAGGTTAAAACTTTTTGATCATTTTTATATCAACCTGCTATAAATACACAATCTGTAAATAAATTATTTTATTAATGTAAAATTTGGGTCACATGAAAATTGAAAGGAGGAAACAAAAAGCCTGATGAGTCTACTTTTGTGCACAGATATCATTCTATGTTTATTTCAATACCAATTTATGAATTCGTTTTAAAGTTGGCCTAAAAAAAGTAATTATGTCATTACAACGCCAAACAGGGCTGTTTATTCGGTCAGGCATTTTGTTGGCTGGTTCACCCAGGCTCCACATTGGGTGTACAGTTTTTCCCAATGTGGCTCTTCTGCAGTCGATGTACTAGCATTTTCTCCCCCAACTGAGACAACAATGCAAGTTATTATTTTAATTCTGCAGCAATGATTATCTTGTCTACTAGATGCATAGTGTAATGGTGCACATTAACATTTCTACATCATACATATTTCAGTGAATTATTTGTTAAATAATCACATTGATGTTTCTCTGATGCAACATTGACAGTTTTACAACAGTTCCCAAATGTGAGTTGTTACTGCATTTGTGTTTTGTTATTTTTTTCTGATAAAATGTTTAAGATCTCTTTATCTTAAACATTTATCAAAATTAGTGTAACAACATTAACTTACGATTAGGGATGCTTCATCCACAACGTGTGTTGCTGAATAGTTCTTTTTTTGTTGAAGTATCCATTTTTCTTTCTTTTTTTCAAATATGTCCAATTTTTTTTTCAACCTCACTTTCCTAGGTTGCAATGCCTGGCAGATTTTGCATTTTTTAGTCGCAACGTGGATCTGGCTTGAGCAGCCTGTACATGTAGTTTTAGTCGACCCCGTTGACATGTCGACTCTGAAAACATAATAAAAAGGTCATCTGTGAATCATTAAAAGTTAGGCATCAAAGCTCACAAACACATGAATCCATGAAACTCCCAGCAAACCTTATCTATATGTGTATTATATTGATCCATCCTACAGCTCTTATACGGTTTCAGGGTTCCACGTTCTGTCTGTTTAGCATACAATTAGCATGCCCTATGCTGGTATGCTAATTGCGGGGAACCTCTGATCATACTTTCACCTGCGAATTTTGTCAGCATCTCCGACACGATATCTATGTCTAACAACATAAAAGCATGGTGGAAAAGCGTATTCCGATTTTACAGTAACATTTAACTCTGGATATGAAAATACATCGTTCTTACCGCGTGCGTGGGACGTATCTTCAGCTGAGAAAAATGACGGAGCTCATACTTCCGGGTACACCTGGATAGTTTCCTGTTGATTATGTTCCACGGGAAGGACCGGGTTATACGCCAAAATATTCAGGCACATTTATTAACAGTGATTTCTTAGATGCATGCATTGTTTTATTATATACATGGTGTTTTCTGAGATTTACCAAAGTCTGAAATGACACGTGCACTGCGTGGGTGACTAACATGCATGCACCTCATAAATGCATACACGACACACATTTCAAAACGCACGCGCATGCATTCGCGTACTAATGGTACAGACAGCTAAACACGCACTGGGCTCACGATTCTACAGGCAAGAGAATTATGAATGATATAAATCTTGATTTCGGGTTCAAAGGATGAAGAAACATAAAACTTGACACTGTTGTTCATTCTACAACTACAAAAACTACCATAGCCGTCATTTTGGCTCCATTCCAACCAATGGAATTTTAGTTTTTTCAATAGATTTATTATAAGGTATTTACATTTATTATAACTTTACATTTATTATAACTTTCCCGCTTACAGTTAGTCCAGAACTCCGCGGCACGGATTTTAACAGCTTCTTTGCACTAGCTTCCTGTTAATTTTAGAATTGATTTTAAGATTTTATTGTTTGTTTTGAAAACTTTGAACGGACTGGCCCCTCCTTACATCTCGGACCTCATCCAAATTTATCACCCACCCCGCACGCTGAGGTCCGAGAGGACCGTTACCATGACAATTGGTCCGCAGCGCATCACATTTGATATCTTTCCTCAGTAAAAAAAAAAAGAAATAATGGGCGACGACTGGGAGCATTCTCTCAGTGAATTCTATTATCCGGACGAGTTTGAAGAACCAGAGGAATTACAGAAAATAACGACAAAAAAAATAACTAACAGTCAAGAAGAGATTGACAACTTTGTTGCAGACCAGAAAGCTAAAAACACAATAAGGAAAACCAAGTCGGATGTGAACATACTTCACAAATATCTAAAAAGCATTGGTAAAGACACAGAGGAGAGTCATATAATAAAACATTTATTAACCTTGCTTGCTCGGTTAATAAGCCGTTATTACTAGACTATAAGTGCTGGTGAACATAATTGGAAATACTGTAGAGATTTCATAACACTTTGAAACAACTGTAGTTAAAGTTAAACTCATCATTCTAATATGCACGAGACAGTCACAGTACTTTTCCACTTGATGTTTTGGTATCTCAAGGTTGTAGCTACAGGCATCGCGGCGAAAGCTGATTGGACGGTGTTCATTCAACACACTTGCATTTTCTTACATCCTTGTTCGTGTGCTTGAGTTTGTGCTGGCTCTACCATCAATAAAACATGTCTTCTGTCTGAATTAAAGACATGATCCCAGACTTTGGCTGATTTCCAACAATACAACAAAGGTCATATGATAATTGTTACAGTACAGTTGCTATGTTATCTTGTACTGCCTCTTTTTTTGTAGGAATACATGGTAAAACTATACTCGCATTTAAAAAACAAGGACATTGAACTACTGGACTGGACTCATAACACAGACGCCCGCTTCAAGAAGGGCCAGAGTCGCCTCTACCTGCTGAGGAGGCTCAGGTCTTTTGGAGTGCAGGGCCACTCCTGAAGACCTTCTATGACTCTGTGGTGGCATCAGCCTCTTGTACGGTGTGGTCTGCTGGAACAGCAGCATCACAGAGAGGGACAAGAAGAAGCTGGACAAGGTCATCAGGAAGTCCAGCTCAGTCCTGGGCTGTTCCCTGGACACAGTGCAGCAGTTGGGGGACAGGAGGGTCCTGAGCAAACTAACATCTATGCTGGACCATGACTGTCGCCCCCTGCAGGACACTCTCTCTGCTCTGGAGAGCAGCTTCAGTGACAGACTAATTCACCCTCGCTGTGTGAAGGAGAGGTTCCGTAGGTCTTTCCTTTCTGCTGCTGTCAGACTGTACAATAAGAACTGCTGAGCCTGTAAATTTCATTAATCTGTAATTAAGTAAATTCTTAAATCATGTGCAATGTGCAACTTCAGAATGTCACAGAACAATGTCACTTTACCTCATGTCACTTTACTTATATACTTTTTATCCTGCACTATTTAACTGTACAGTATATAACTGCACTACTACATATATATTTTTTGACTGGTATTGAAGGATTTTCAGCATCTACAGCTAGTTATGTTAGTTAAGAAACATAGCTACTTATTTGTATATAGTGTATATATTGTGTGTGATCCCTGTGTGCTCTTACTACTGTCCTATACTGTATATGCGATGCAACATCAAAATTTTCCCACTGTGGGACGAATAAAGGAATTCTTATCTTCTTATCTTATCTCATCTTGAAAGAATCTTTATAGAAACAGAAAAAGACACAAAGTTCTGAAGACCAAAGTCTAGAGTAATTTCTCTTCCAAAACTAAAAGACATTCCTCAAGACAACACATATGCCTCAGCCTGGTGAAGGGCCCTGTTCTGTGGAAAATCCCCTTTTGGGAACCGCATTGACCTTCAACCTGATGAAGACCTTAGGGCAGCTCATCCTCATCCACCTTCGCTCTGAGATCAGCCCCACCCTGAACACATTAGTCCGGTCTTCAGGTCTCTGCACTGGCTTCCTGTGGCTCAGAGGATAGACTTTAAAACAGCTCTGCTTGTGTACAAGTCTCTCCATGGCCTCGCACCAAAATATATTAGTGACATGTTAGTACCATACGAACCAGCCCGGACTCTGAGGAGCACAGGGACTGGACTCCTGTTAGTGCCCAGAGTCAGAACTAAACATGGGGAGGCTGGCTTTTCAGATTCATGCTGCTAAAATCTGGAATAATCTCCTTGAAGATGTGAGACAGGCAGGAGGCCTGTCTCACATTGTCTCTCTGACAATGTTTAAAACCAGGTTAAAAACGGTGCTGTTTAGCTGTGCATACAACTGAGGGATTTTATATTTTTATCTTCCTTTTTAATGTTCTGTGATTATTTATGATTTTAATGCTTTCTTGTTTTGTTCAGTACTTTGAGTTGCCTTGTGTAGGATTTGTGCTATACAAATACACTTGCCTTGCCTTGCCTAGATTCTCCATTGTGAGATCAATCTTATTTCTTGACAAATATTCAACACATACTCACAATGTTAATTTTTCATGATATGAGGCGGAATTGGTTTTCAAAAAATGGGAGTAGAGAAAAATTACATTTAAATTATGAGAAGTCTCAAAAACGTTATTTATCTATTCAACATCTGATTGTTCAAGGAGTGTTTATTTCATAATTGTAATGCATGTATTTGTTAATAGGTTGGAACTGTGTTTTTAATATATACTATTTAAAACTACAATTTTAGCCACTGTGACAATTTAGCGTAATACAAATGGGCGCCATGCTTGTAGTTGTTTTAGCTGGGTACGTTTGTGTAACGTCACATCTGTGCGCGTGTGGTGGGTTTGAACAGGTTTGGGTTTGACACGTTTGAAATGGAAAAAAACAACAAATAAACTTTATATAAAAGCGAAGATCTATCGATTACACAAAGCAATACGTGTAACGCGATGTTCGTGAAACTTTCCGTGATTTTGATCTTCATTATTTTCAACACGCATGCGCAGTCATCAGAGTCATTTATGCATCTCGCGGTTTCATTTTGCGCGCAATATCTGGATTTTGGGCTGTCTTTGGATTTCGTCTTCAATGAAAATGGATATCACGGAAGATGATGACATTTTCCTGGCTGACATCGCTTTGCAAGAATATGCTGTAAGTATATTTATTGGAATTTGTATTAATAATGCTTTATTCGCATTCGATTATTTAGATATATGGAACGGACATATACCATGGGCAAAAAACCATACGGTTGTATTTCAGTTTTGATCGGAAAGCTAAGCTGTCACTAAGACTGAATTTAATAGCAAACTGTATGTTGGAATACTTTTTTCTTACAGGCAGCATTAACGCACCTCAATATCAAAACTTTTATGTCACTGTTGTGATGAGAATTTTCCGCGATTCACTATTTAACACATTTATTACCGTATCTGCAAACTTTGGGGTTAATGTTGTAGGACAGGTGAGTTTGAAGTGGGTGGCCGTGATCCAAGTAGTA